TGCTTTTACAGTCTTTATGGGTGTGAAAGCAATCAGTGTAAAAAAAAAAAAAAATCTTCATCGCCCCCCACAAGTAGTACAGTGTCCCCACCTACTGCTAGGGTGATAGTATGTAAAAAAAAACAAACAAACATAAATAATAATATAAAAAAGTAAAAGAAAAATGTTTCAAAATTTAAATTTTTGGTTATAAACTAATTTGGTTTTTTTTTTTTTACTAAAAAGATAACGGAATAAATTTTGGCCAAGATTTATGATGAAATATTATTTATTTGCAAAATTTTATAAGAGAAACACTTTTTTAAAACATGTTTGGACTTTTCATTTGCATAGCTAAAAAAATAAAAATCCCAGTGGTGAATAAATACCACCAAAATAAAGCTTTATCTTTCTCAAAAAATTTCATATGGGTACAGTGGTGCATGACCGCGCAATTGTCATTCAAAGTGTGATAGCGCTGAAAGCTGAAAATTGCCCTGGACAGGAAGGGGGTAAAAGTGTTTGGACTGGAAGTGGTTAAGTAAATCTGAATAGACTACTTTGTAAAAACTTTCTAAGTATGGTCCTTTACAGTGCTGAGCGAACTATTGGCGCTTTATAAATACTGTATAATAATAATAATAATAATTTGCTGGATAGAACACTGATATGTGATTTGAGAGATGAGTGAGTTTTCGGGGGAGAGGTTTCAAAAGTTGAGTGAATAAGGTGAGTTCTGTACTATCTGTATACAGAGGTTCTGAAGTTTCCAAAATGTCCGTATCAAAATAAAAAATGTATGGGGGGATTCAGCTTTAGGTATATCATCTATGTTGTTTAAAAAAAGAGTCTTTTTCTTGTTTAATGTGGTAATATCTTTTTAAGGTCACATTTCAAATATATCTATTTAAATCTGTAAACAAAAGAAATGGATTGGGCCAATTGGCAGGGGCGGAATTAATTCCGCGACTCAATAAGGATAGTTCTTCAGGAGATAAGTTATGTGAGGATTAGCTGAAGATCTTTATCGTTTGCGGAATTTGTTTTTGGAGGTTGTTCTCAATTGTTTTTCTACTTCTACCTCCTCAGCATCCTCTCCTATGTGTTTTCTTTTTGGATATTGGGACACAGGGGGTTGTAATTCTAAAAAAGGTGAGGATGAGGTCCATACGGTGGGTTTGCTGTCGTTTGGGGGATTACATTGATTGGAAATATAAACCCTATCCTCAGCAACACGGACAGAACATCTGTCTGTGAGCGAACATCTACTTTTCATTAGACTACAGAAAGCATCCAACAAATAGATGCGAAAGCGAATTTATTAATAGGCACAATACAGGAATCAGTCTAAAAAAAACAGACATCCTAGAAGCACTTCTAACAAAATGAAAAATCACTGTAGAAACATGTCCACATTGAAATTTGCTTTCCCAAATATCTGGACTTCACTTTAACCATTTCAATACCGGGCAATTTTCCCCCTTCCTGCCCAGGCCAGTTTTCAGGTTTCAGCGCTCTCACACTTTGAATGACAATTGCGCGGTCATACAACATTGTACCCAAACTAAAATTTTATCATTTTCTTCACACAACTAGAGCTTTCTTTTGGTGGTATTTAATCATCACTGTGGTTTTTATTTTTTGCTAAATTAACAAAAAAAGTTTTTTCTTTGTTTCTGTTATAAAAGTTTGCAAATAAATAATTGTTCTTCATAAACTGAGGCCGAGATGTATTCTGCTACCTGTCTTTGGTGAAAATTACCCAAATTAGGATGTATTTTTTAGTTTGTAGGAAAGTTATAGAGTTCACAAACTATGGTATAAATCTGAAAATTGATCAATCCTGAAGTACTGACAGCCAATCTAATTTCTTGAGGTCCAAGAATGTCAGAACAGTACAGATATCCCCCAAATGACCCCTTTTTGCAAAGTAGACAGTCCAACGTACTTCATAAGAGGCATGGCGAGTTTTTTGAAGTTGTATTTTTTTTTTGTCATAATTTTTCGGAAAATGAAAAAAAAAATATTTTCACTATTTTTTTTTTACATATTGTCACCAGTGCAGTACAGCATCATCATATAACTGGCATGGCGATGATCAGGGACACTGACTGGTGACAGTATGAAAAAAATATATATATATTGTTTTTATTTAAATTTTTTTTATTATTTTTTATTACATTTTTTTTCCTTTTTTTAAGATTTTTTTTTCATATTTCACTATGACCTAAGTAGTACAATGTTACCATAGTAACATTGTACTACTTTGGGGAAGTGGTCAGTATTTTTTTTTTTTTTTTTTACACAATTTGCTTATAGCAAAGAATTACTTTGCTATAAGCAAGCATTTACCTGAATGACATCGATTCATTCAGGTTTTTTTTTTTGTGTGCTTAGCTGTGATTTGGCCACAGCTAATCACATGACATGTGCATGTGATTAGCTGTGACCATTCACAGCTAGACACTAGTATACAATGGATGGCATGAATGAAGCCATCCATTGTATACAACTGTCATGTGACCTACTGTGATTAGTCACAGCAGGTCACATGGTACCTGCAAAGGGGGGCCGATACTCAGATCTGTCATCGGCCATGTCCGAGGTACACGGCCGGTGACAGATCGCGCCGCTGCGCCACTCCGCAGGAGCCCAATCTGCACATGTGCTGGAGGACGCCATATGGTGTCCACCCGGAACGCTGATGACATTTGCCTCCCACCATTCGGCCATAGGGCAGGCGGCAAATGGTTAAACAATATATTACATTTCAACAAAAATTTTTCAGTTGGTAAAAATAGTTTTTTAAGGAAATTCATGACAGTCAGAACTAGACACTTTTCCAACGTCTATGCACGGATATCAATGCGCATGTGCAGAACACAATTTAACCGTCTACTGTGGGCACTTTCTTTTTAGACGCTGTTTAATAGTAAATCTCTGTGTGGAGTCCTCTGCAAGACAGCTATCCAGCCAGTCTACTGTGTTTGACAAAAAGAACTATTTGTAGCCAGGCATATCTTAATGTATTCTAATTTGATTTCCTTAGTTCTATTGATTCTATTTTTGTTTCTTATCCTTTATAATGATTTCTGTAATGGTTTTACATATTTCGAAGATCTAAATAATATATATTTTGACAACTGAATCTAAAAATAAAGGTCGGCAATTAAAAAATAAAATGGCAAGAAGAGAGAGAAAGAGCGAGAGAGAGAGCGAGAGAGAGAGAGGAGAGAGAGAGAGAGAGGGAGAGGGGGAGAGAGAGAGAGAGAGAGAGAGAGAAGGATTTGGAGGGGAATCCCCACACCAAAATTTAACAAAATAATGGCATGGGGTCCCCCCCAAAATTCATAACAGACCCTTATCCGAGCAATCAGATACCGCATACCTTTAAATATTTATTTCCTTTGTTGAATGAATTGCCTGCTTGGTTCACACTAGAGGTGATTTAAAATTGTGCTTTTGGTTGGCAATTTCACCGTGTTTTCTGTAGATTTCCCAAAGAGTTATTGCATTTTCAGTTGTGTTTTGCATTGCGATTTCTATTGTAGTCTATATGTGAAATCGCTATAAAATGCAGAAAAAGTTAGACAAGAACTACTTTTGAAATTGTGCTGTAGCAAATCGCATATGTTAAGATACTCACATTCATTAGATCTGATATCAGGTACGATTTTAATTCCCGAATTGTACCTGAAATCGCGGCAGGGTGAATCAGCTTTGATGTCACATCAAAGGGTGAGCCAGCCCGAATTGTACCTGAAATCGTGGCAGGGTGAACCAGCCCTAAGAGCTGATTCACTCTGGATGCAACATGGCATGCAATTTGCATGCCCTGCAACTTGCAAATCGCAAGCCAAATTGCATCAGATGTGACCGGGGGCTAACACCCCAGTCACATCTAATCCGATTTGGAAATCGGGCAATTTGCAGTTGCAAGATTTCAAAATCGGATTGGATGTGAATAGAGCCTATAGCGGACAATAGGTTGTGACTTGGCCTGCAAATCTGGCTTGAAAATCGCATGCCAAATTGCACCCGATAAGACTGAGGGCCACCCCGGTCACATCAAAGCGGATTTTGAAGTCGTGCGACTTACAGTTACGTCGCACGATTTCAACATTGGAATTGATGTGAACAGAGCCTATAGTAGACAATAGGTTACAATTTGGCCTTTGATTTGCAAGTCACCTGTCATGCAAATCACATGCCAAATCACACCGATGTGACTGGGGGCCAACCCAGTCACATCAAAGCAGATTTTGAAATCGTGTGACTTACACCATGGTTGCATCAAGCCCACCTTTTAAAGTATGTGACTTACAGTGAAGTCGCATGATTTCAAAGTCGGGGGACATGCCAATTTCAAGTGCGATTTGCAAGACATCTTACACAGATCTCTCTGCAAATCGCACCAAAAGTAGTGTATTCACTACTTTATAAATAGTCGCGGCTCCTACCAAGTTTAAACCACACCAATATGACCGCTCTAATAGCAGTCACATCAAGTGCAACTTGGCATGCGATTTGCATGAAATACGACTTGCAAATCGCATGCCAAGTCGCACCCTATTGTCCACTATTAGAGGGGTCACATGGGTGCATTTCCGACACTGGTTTTCTAAAGTAGTACATGCACTACTTTTGTGGTGTCAGATGTCTTGCAAATCGCAAGGAAACCAGCAAATTTGCTGTAAGTCACATGATTTCCAAATCGGCTTTGATGTGACCGGGGTGTAAGGTCTTTTTATGTTCGATTTCCTGAGTGTTTTTTTTTTATTTATGGGAAATCCTGCATACTAGCAAAAGTGAATTGACATTTTCAGTATTGCATGCGAGATGTGGTCATGTGACTGCCTTAACTTATGCGATAAGCTTGAGTGAATTGTGCCCATAGAGCCAAGAAATGTTGCCCTTCGGTTCCCCTTCACATCTCTGTTTAACCACCTTCTGCCTGCCCTATAGTAAAATGACGGGTGCAAGGTGGTTCTCTCATTCTGATAGGATGTCATATGATGTCCTACCAGACTCACTGCGCATGCGCGGCTCAGGGAGCGCGCAGAGTGGCGATTGCCAGTGTGCTCTGTCCCTCGGACACAGCAAATCACAGATCACGAAAAGAGCCGAAGATGTCGGCTCGGTCATGTTGTGTCCAATCACAGCTGATCACATGTAAACATGGAAATGCTGGGTTATCGGCATTTCTCGCCTCTCGAGCTGTCACGCTGACAGAGGAGAGCCGGTAATCGGCTTTCCGCGGAGGGGACATGTACACTGATCATCAGGGCACTGATCAGTGTGCCCTGATGATCAGTGTGGCCCCAGAAGTGCCAGCTGTCAGTGCTCATCAGTGCCACATCAATGCCACATGTCAGTGCCTACCAGTGCACATCAATGCCACATATCAGTGCCCATCTGAGCTGCCTTTCAATGCCACCTATCAGTGCCAATCAGTGCCACCTATCAATGCTGCCAATCAGTGCCACCTATCAGTGCCAGTCAGTGTCCCTATCAGTGCCAGTCAGTGCCGCCTATCAGTGCCAGTCAGTGCTGCATACCAGTGCCGCCTATCAGTGCCATATATCAGTGTCATGTATCAGTGCTGCCTTTCAGTGCCCATCAGTGATGCCTGTCAATGCCCATCAGTGCAACCTACCAGTGCCTCCTCATCAGTGCCCATCAGTGCCACCTATCAGTGTCCATCAGTGCAGCCTATCAGTGCCCATCACTGCAGCCTCATTAGCGCACATCAGTGAATGAGAAAAATCACTTATTTACAAAATTGTATAACAAAACTAAGAAAAAACTTTTTTTTCATAATTTTCAGTGGTTTTTGGTTTGTTTAAGAAAAAAAATAAAAATCCCAGAGGTGATTAAATACCACCAAAAGAAAGCTCTATCTGTCTCAAGAAAATTATAAACATTTCATATGGGTACAGTGTTGCATGACCGCGCAATTGTCATTCAAAGTGTGACAGTGCTGAAAGCTGGAAATTTGCCTGGGCAGGAAGGGGGTATAAGTGCCCTGTAGGCTAGTGGTTAATGTTCTATTGTATGCTGCACAGGTACACTTCACTGTGGCTTTCTTTCTGACTCTGATTTGTGGGGACTGTATACCAAGGGTTAACGCAGGTGAGAAGAGGATTGGTGCTGGCTAATCAGGTGCAATCACTTTCTCTGACTAAATGAATGACAGTGGTGGGAGTGGCCTTCATTGAGGGTGGGGCCTTGTTTGGTGTGCTCCAGTTCCAACCTATGTTATATAAAGACCTGCAGTAGTGGGTGATTTGGTCTGGTAATAGGCCAGGTTATATTCAGCAAGTCCTTGCCTGCGGTGGTTTGGGGGGATATCGTGCTGAATTGCCCCAGACCCCACTCAGGCTGTGTTTTGATTTGGGATGAAAATGTTTTGCATTTTTTTCCTTCTAAAGTGTGTTTGTGTATTATTGTACAATGTTCGTGTGTTTATTATCTTTGCATTGTAATCCTAACACATGTCAATTGCTCTGAGCTTCCAAATCTGCACTTGGCTGTAGTTTGCTTGCTTATTTGTACTGAAATGCAGTTTTAGGACAAACCTGACCAGAAATGTGTGGGGGATATGGGGGAGGTGGGGGATGTTTGTTATTTTGGCACTTTGTTATGTATTTTTATATTGATATTTTGATCTGGAGCCTATTTTGTGGATAGATAATCCTACTAAGTCATGGTATGTGTTAATTTTATGGCCCTGAAAATGTTGCTTGATTCATATTACCCATTTGTTTGCTGCTGTACCCTGTAAAAGCACTGTTCATTAGAAGGTATAATCTTTTAGATTGTAAGCTCTTATGAGCAGGACTGTTCTATATACATCAATCCTGCTTTTTTTTTTTTCCCACCAAGAATTGACTGTACCTACTTGTTGCTGCTGTCCAAATAAATGTGAAATGTGTATTTGATCAATAAACGTTTGGACTATGTATTTTTTTTTGGGGGCGGTTATTTCATGTTCTAGTTCAATATACTAGCACCCCTAAACACTTATTTTTTGCTACCTATATAATATGGCCAAATCTAGCTTGTTAGAGCGCACATATGCAAGTATGTCCAAACTAACAAACCAAAAGCCCCCTATTGCATCTCAAGACAATGTTATGTACCAATGAATAGGTCTTCATGTAGCTAGGCCTTCATGTTTAATCTTTGCATATATGTACATGTATACTGCATACCGTGCCTTAGTATACAATGTATTAGTGTACAGTGCATTAGAGTGTACAGTGCGTTACTGTACATTGTGTTAGTGCACAATGCATTAGTGTACAGTGTGTTAGAGTACAATGCTTTAGAGTGTACAGTGCGTCAGAGTGTACAGTGCGTTAGTGTACAGTGGGTCAGAGTGTACAGTGTGTTAGTGTACAGTGTGTTAGTGTACAGTGCGTCAGAGTGTACAGTGCGTCAGAGTGTACAGTGTGTTAGTGTACAGTGCGTCAGAGTGTACAGTGGGTCAGAGTACAGTGGTCAGAGTACAGTGGGTCAGAGTGTACAGTGTGTTAGTGTACAGTGTGTTAGTGTACAGTGCGTCAGAGTGTACAGTGCGTGAGAGTGTACAGTGGGTCAGAGTGTACAGTGGGTCAGAGTGTACAGTGTGTTAGTGTACAGTGTGTTAGTGTACAGTGCGTCAGAGTGTACAGTGTGTCAGAGTGTACAGTGCGTCAGTGTACAGTGGGTCAGAGTGTACAGTGTGTTAGTGTACAGTGTGTCAGAGTGTACAGTGCGTGAGAGTACAGTGGGTCAGAGTGTACAGTGTGTTAGTGTACAGTGGGTCAGAGTGTACAGTGTGTTAGTGTACAGTGGGTCAGAGTGTACAGTGCGTTAGTGTACAGTGTGTCAGAGTGTACAGTGGGTCAGAGTACAGTGGGTCAGAGTGTACAGTGTGTTAGTGTACAGTGGGTCAGAGTGTACAGTGTGTTAGTGTACAGTGGGTCAGAGTGTACAGTGCGTGAGAGTACAGTGGGTCAGAGTGTACAGTGTGTTAGTGTACAGTGGGTCAGAGTACAGTGGGTCAGAGTGTACAGTGTGTTAGTGTACAGTGGGTCAGAGTGTACAGTGCGTTAGTGTACAGTGTGTCAGAGTGTACAGTGCGTTAGAGTACAATTCATTAGTGTACAGTGCGTTACTGTATATTGTGTTGGTGCACAATGCGGTAGTGTACAATGTGTTTAAATCATATGCAATGCACTCACATTCCGGAGGTACATTCTGCACCAGGTATGATGAACATCCAGTAATGACCTTCTTTAGGCACTAGATGGCAGTAATGATATGGGCCCTTGCCTTGCATTACAGTGTGGTGACGTTTTGGAGCCTGGACTGGTCTATGCTGCTGGGGATGATACTGCCATCTAGTGCCTAAAGAAGTACATTACTGGATGTTCATCATACATGGTGCAGTATACACCTCCGGAATGTGAGTTAATTTCTTATTGTTTATTGGCGGTTATCTGGAGGGGGCATCCTGGGAGATATTACTCAGCAAGTTGATCTTCAGAGTCCATACGTTTGGGACCAAAAGTGCAGTTAGACCACAACTATAGGGCGGGCGCAAAGTGGTGCTTGCCATTTTAGCCAATGTGTAGTCAACATGACAAAAAGTTGTCCTGGCCACTCAAACATTACATGAATAAATGCTGTGGCTTTGGGCAAGAGAGTGGAGAGGGAGTAGAACAGCTGGCCAGTTTTGACTATTTTCTGTGCCATCTGTAGATTTATGAAGAAAAAAGAACCTCTGCTATGTATCTAAATGTTTTTATTTTTCTTTCAGCCGATTAACATCTGGAGTACAAGGCAGAGGGAGACCCTGGGAAGCCTGTTGGGATTAGCTGTCTGGCATCCCAGGTGGGTTTTGAAAAGTGATCTTAATTGTTCCAAAATAAAATATTAAACGTAAGACTTACATGCTCTGCGCAGTAATTTGCCACAGAGCTGCCCAGATCCTTCATTTTGTTGCTTCCCCGCCAGCATTCCTTGGCCCCTCTCTCCTGTCCAGTGCCCCCAGAAAAAGCACCTTGTTCTGGTGTGAGCCTAAGAAGACTCACTCATGAGCCATGGAGCCCAGAGAGCAAAGCTCATCAGGAAATCAGGATGAGGCTCAACTTCAAGTAAGCATTAGTGTGCCTGGGGGAGGGGGGACCTTGTGCCTTTCCAAACACAGTAATTGCTTGAAAAAAGTTTACTTCAACTCCTGAAATGGTAAAAAATTAAAAAGATACTCTAGCTAGCCTGCACTGAGAAGTGATTGTCATGATGAAATGTCAATGATTCTTTGCTCTCATTTTAACCTCCCTGGCGGTATGATTATGTCAGGAATTTTGTACCAAAAGCGGTACCATTTTTTTGCATGGAAATATGTATTTTTTTATTGTAGGCTGTAATTTTTAGGAATAACTCACTGAAATCTGTCCGAACAAGAGTCTATTAAACATTCCGGATATGATAAAACTTGAAACACGAAATCATAAATTATAATTTAATAAATAATCATAAATAATAATTTAATAATAAATTGAATTCAATAATATAATCAAACCAAAAAACACTGAAATTTGAAATACAGAGGCAAATTTGCACATCGCTGATCAAAGTCGCAAAATCGTTTTCAGTGTCTGATGACGAATTTCCCCACAAAACATTATCACTCAATTCTGCAAGTGGTTCTGATTTACTATCGCTGTTCTAAAACCGCTTTTGACGTAAAGGGACGCTTTTTGGCCACCATGGACTTTTCTAAGTTTCCAGGCAGAAAGAACAGTCAAAATGCAGGCAGGGCGCCGGACAAAGCAGTGGGGACAAAATGTATGTGAAATGCAGTGAAAAAGCAATGACAGCAAAAATGTCATTTTTTAAAAATTTCAAATTTCCCGCCGGTTCCGCCGCCGGAACGTTCCGACGTCACAGGGACCGGAACACGGAAGCCAGATGCCGGCATCCGCCGGAGGAGATGGACGGGGACGCTGCAGGGGACACATCGTGGGAGCGAAGGACAAGGTAAGTGCTGCAGGGACCCCCAGAGCAACGCCGCATGGTAAGCCTGAGTGTAGCTCGGGGTTACCGCTCTTGGTATAGAAATTCTACCCCGAGCTACACTCGGGAAAACCGCCAAGGAGGTTAAAGGAGTGGTCCTCTTGGTGGGTCCAGCTTGGAGAAAGCCACCTTCATGTCCTCCACTTGTCTTCATTTGTGGCTAGTGGATATTTTGTGGCACCAGGCAAGAACTGGCATCAAGGACCTGCATAAACACCCTGGTATGCCAGAGGTGGCTTGGAAGCAGCACAGCAACTTGACCATCCCTTTCCTCTATGCTGCTTTTGGGGGTGCATAATTGCTTCTCGTTCCTGAACGAACTTGCACCGGATATCGGAGTACCCATATTTTCCAGATATGTTTGAGCCATGTGCTGGCAAAAAGCAGAGCCTGTTTTTGGTTTGCCCAAAAATTGGGAGCTGGCAGCCATGTCTTTACATCAGGCCATGTATTTGCCTTTTTTTTGGATTGTCAAATAAAGACT